GTGTGGCCTCCTGCTGGGCAGCACTTACCTCTGGTGACTCCCGGTCGGTGGCGGGTGCAGCGAGGCTAAGGCTGGCTCCCTGCCTACTCCGGCCCCACACTGTTCCTGGAAGGGGCCAACATGCCCCTGTGGCCCCTGGGGTGGGGTGGGGGGCGGGGAGCATGTGGCTCAGAGCACTGCCCCTCTCTGCAAGAACCGCCCCTGCGGGTCCTATTAGCCACAGCTCCCCATTCATGGCCAATGGGAGCTGCAGGGCCGGTGCTTGCAGACAGGAGCAGCATGCGGAGGGAGACTTCTGCCTCACCACCCCCAGGGCCATGGGGTGCGCTGGCTGCTTCTGGGAGCAGTGTGGGCCCAGGGCAGGCAGGGAGCCTGTCTTAGCGGCAGCCACACTGTGCTGCTTGAGATCACGATCGACTGGAAGGTACTCTAGGATTGACCAGTCGATCACGATCGACCAGTCTAGTCTGACCTCCTGCATAACAGATTACAGAATTTCACTCACAGATTCCGGCAACTAGCCCATATCTTGTGGTTGAGCTAGATCATTCTCTTTAGAAAGACACCTTATCTTTACTTAAAGACTTAAAGTGACAGAGAATCCACCATATTCCTTGGTAAATTGTTCCAACAGCTAATTACCCTCTCTGTTAAAAAGACACACCTTCGGGCTAGAAATAAGGCATCTAACTTCATCTTCCAGCCCTTGGATCTCTTTATGTCTTTGTCTGCTAGATTAATGAGCCCTCTGCTATCAGAGTTCTAGGTTTCTCACTCCAGTGACCTTCTCTTTTCCTTGAATTCTAAAATTCCCCTTTTGAAATGAACCTGAGATCTAGGAATCCCTCTTACTCCATCAGAATTCCCAAGGAAAGCACCGCTCTTGCAGAGAAGCTCAGGAATCTTTGCTTTTGAAGTGTTGGGAATAGGGAGTGGAAGAGAGTTGCTTCCTGAATTAAGTGTAACATATTGCCAGAGGTTCTTGGATAAGAGAGTGTTTTTGCAGAATGTTCAACCCTGGGGTGGGCGGGAGGGAGGAAGGAGGAAGAATCTTGCTCTCCTATCTGGCCAGATCAGTGCTCAAGACCCAAAGAAGGTTGCATCCAGGCCTCCTAGGCTGAAAGAGCATCAGCACAGCTAATGATCTTGAGAAGAGGAGCAGACCAGAAAGATGGGGGATCCTCTGGGCTTTGAGAGAAGGAACTCAAGGAGAGGGAACAAAAGAGGATTTTGATGTCATTGTACTTACCCACTTTCGGGGTCTCCCTCTTGGTCTTTTCTCAGCTGAAGATTCTACCTTTAGTTAAAACAAAAGACATGATCTAGTCCTCTTTCATAACTTATTGCACTTGTGATCAACACACTAAAGCCATGTCCGCATTACAGTGGCACAGCTACAACATTGTAGTGCCATGGTGTAGATGCTTCCTACAGCAATGGAAAGGGTTTTTCCATCACTGTAGGAACCCCACCTCCCCAAGTGATGGTAGTTGGGTCGACAGAAGCATTCTTCAATTGATCTAGCTGCATCTCCACCATGCGTTAGATCAGTATGAGTACGGCACTTGGGGGTGTGTGTGAATTTTTCATAGTGACAGTGCTCAGATATGTGGATTTTTTAACACTCCATAACACTGTAGCTATGTTGCCCTAACTTTTAAGTGTAGGCCAGGCCTAAACTTGGTCGGGGTGGCTTCATTTTAAGGTCTTCCTATGTGACTGTGGATTATGATTAAGAGTATAACAACTAGGAGGAGGCGGCGGGGTCTTAGGAGGAAGAGGAGTAGGGAAAGAGTGGAGAGGCAGAGGAAGAAGAGGAGGTTGCTGGCCAGGCATCAGAGAGGAGGAGGACAAGCAGATGTGGATTAGGAGCAGGCAAACTAGGATTAAGACTAGGACACCTAGAAGGAGGAACTCTATGGGAAGGAGGACTTGGGAGATGACTAAACAGATGAAGCAGAAGACTGAGGTAGCCTAGAGGAGGATATCAACCAGGCAGAATTGGAGGATGTCAGAGGAGGAGTATGCAAATTAGGATGAAAACAAAAACAACTAGGAGGAGGAGGAACCAGGAGGTGGAGATTTAGGAGAAATACTGGGCAGAGGAAGCAGAGGTAGTGGACTGAGGAAAGGAGGAACATGATTAGGAGGCAGAGAGTGCCAGATGAGGACTATGTGATGATGGTGGAGGAGAAGCACTAGGAGGAGGAAAGATACAGTGGAAGAGGAGGAGAAGGATGAGGTGGAGGACCAACCACTAGGAGGAGTAGGGTGAGGAGGAGGAGGACTATGACTAGGAGGACAATTAGGATGAGGAGGAACATGATGCTGAGGCTGATGATGACTAGGACGATGGGCAGTATAAAGAAGAGAAGGAGGCAGCCCTTTAGGTGCCATTGTGAAAAGACTTAGGATGACTACAAAGAGGACTAGGCAGGGCTGATAATGAGGGAGAAGAATGAAGGTGACGAGGCAGCAGCAGATGATAGAGGACAATCAGTGGTGGCAGACAGAGGACAGAGGGTGATGATCAGGAGCGGCGCCAGGGTTTTTGCTGCCCTAGGCGGCAGTGCTCCTCCTCAGAGCATTCGGCGGCGGGGGTCCTTCTACTCCATGTCTTCGGGGCGCTTCGGCGGCGGGTCCCGGAGCGAGTGAAGGACCCGCTGCCGAAGCGCCCCGAAGACGTGGAGCGGAAGGACCCCCCGCCACCAAATTGCTGCCGAGGACGGCAAAATGTCGCCCCCCAAATCCTGCCACCCTAGGCGACTGCCTAGGGTCGCCTAGTGGAAGTGCCGGCCCTGGTGATGATGTAATGGGAACAGTGGGAGAGGAGTGTAAAGTTTGTCAGAGCTTAAAGACTTAAACAAAAATTAAAAAGGAGACGACACAAACTGCCTGTCTTTTAATGAAAGAGGGCATCTCTCGTGCTCCCCCAGCAAAAGCCTGGAGGAGAGGAGGGTTTGCTTGCCAGTGAGCTCGGCATCCTCCCATAAGCTGAGCATGTGCCATCGTCTCTTACCGTCTGCCCACCACTGGCACTCAGTTTTTTGCTTCCTTTTGGCCTTCCTCGTGGTTTCTTTAGGGGCAAAGGTCCCAGAAGCTCCTGCTTGGACAAAAAGAGGGTAACCGTTACTCTGACACTCCGAACACCTAGCAGTCAAATGATAACTTCCAAGTATGTAGCCCAGTGTATTTTCTGCTGTGGCCTGTGGACCAAGAGTGGCACCCAACACACTTGCTAGTCACATGACACTGGCTCTGCTCCTTGTTTCTGGTGGCTAAACTGCATTAGAAGACAGCTAAAGTACATTTGCAGAACATACAATATCCAGAGAGGAAGGAGGGTCCAGTGATGAGGGTGTTAGCCTAGGACCTGACCACAGGGGTTCAATTCCCTGCTCTACCACTGGCCTTGGGCAAGACACAGTCTCTCTGTGCCCCAGTTCCCCATCCTACCTCACATGGTGGTTGTGAGGCGCTCCAATACTACAGCAATGGGAGTCAGAGACATTCCCAAGATTCCCAAGAGACATTCCCTCTACCCCAATATAACGCGACCCGATATAACACAAATTCGGATATAACGCAGTAAAGCAGTGCTCCAGGGGGGCGGGGCTGTGCACTCTGATAGATCAAAGCAAGCTCGATATAACGCGGTTTCACCAAAATGCAGTAAGATTTTTTGGCTCCTGAGGACAGCGTTATATCGGGGTAGAGGTGTACATACTTTCCTGTGCTAATAATTGCTAAAGGGATGTTATGCCCCTGGGAATAGGAGGTGTCCATTGTGGCCCCCCTGTGAAAACATGATAGAACTCCTGATGTAACCCCTAAAGGTTCCTAGGAAAGTATACAGATTATACCGGCTGCAAGGGATCACACGTTCTAGAGCCAAAATGCAGCCGCTGCTGGGTATGGAACACAGCAGCACTACAGAACAGTGCAGGACAGCAAGCAAAGAACACCTGCTCCAATTTAATCTGCCGAGGGAGTTCAGGAAGTAATTACCTGAACTGGAATTTTGCCAACACACCAGGGTTAACAAACACATCAACTCTTGCTGAAAGTACCAAAGGACCACAAGTGGTTAGGAAGCCCTTGATTTTATGTCACCTCTGAAAGACAGCACATCTAAGCAGCACAGTGCCACCTATTCAGTGCTGACTCAGAAGGAATCTTGCTTTCACTGGATCAGTACCCACAGGAGAATAAAGCTTTATAGAAGCATAGAAAAGGAAGAAGGAAGAAAAAGTATTTGGTGGCATAAAGCAAACCTATATGAATTGGCACATGCACAGTGGCTCACATTCTGTGGGTTCCTTATTTAAACTCTGGTGGAAAAAAGTAAAAACAAGCAGAGTTCTTTTGTTTTAAGTTTGTAAATGAGGAGAGTGAGAGATGTGTTATGTTGAAAGCCCTGGAGGCAGAAGTCCTCTGTTTATCCATAGGACAGAAGCTGTACAAGCTCTCTCTTCCCCTCCCTACTTTAACATGCCTTGGTCCTGCCCTGAAAGGCTGACCTCTATGGAGAGAAAGCAATTCAGCTATGTGATGCATGATGATGTTATGGTCCACTAAGAAATGGATTTAGGCCTCAGACTCATTTCACACAAGCTACCAAACAGCCACTAGGTGCTACTGGCTTTCCATCACTCCTGACCTGATCTCAGTTGGAACAGCCATGACCAAGAAATGAAAGGACCTATACACATCTCATTCTGAGTCTTCTAGGAGTCACCCGCCTACAGAGATAGCTATAGGGAATTCACAATGTGTCAACTCAGTCATCAATTTAAAACAATCCTTTTCAATTATTTCATTGTTTGTGTATGTGAAACTGAAGTCCTGCCCCTGTGGCCTGGCTCACTAACATCTTTCTCCAGAATTCACCCTGTGTATGAAATTTACAAAAATATCAGATGTTTGCCTTTCTGACTTATTGTTGAATTCCTAGTCTTAAAAAAAAGGTCTCATTCATGCCTAAGTATAATATCAGTTTGTATACAGGGCTCACAAATGAGGGATGATAAGTTTATCCAGCCACGACGAGGACTTTTTCTTTTAAAAGGGGAAAAAAGGGGAAAAAGGAAAATAAATACAAGAGCTATCAGGAAAGTGACCAATAGGAAAGTGACACAAATAAAAACAATGAAGATGATATCAGAAGGCATGTGTTGATTACAGTTCCATGTTCTCAATTGTCAATGTTCTGGAACCTTACTCACTATCTGAACGTGCTGAGGGTCCTATTCTTAACTTGTGCACTCAAAGTGACTTTCAAATTCATAATGGTGCTGCACCAGATTTTACCTTTGATTTGTCCGTTATACCTGAGACAATCCTATTTTTGGAGGGTTGCATGGATTAACATTTCTCTATATCTGCTTCATCAGGGTTATTCTGAGAGCACACTAGGAGCTTAGCAGAGTATACAGCTGGTGAGGTGGGGGAACAGGCTGCATATATGTAGACTTGGTAGAATTCTTTTTGTGTATGTAATTTTGATGACTATATCAATATTTATTTTTAAGCATTTTCATAGTTGTGGGAAATAATGGGGGGGTCTGACCATAATTAATTAATGACCGTCAATGTTGAGATTCAAAAAGTTAAAGCTTTATAACTATTCAAACACAAATTGCATGGCAAACTATACCAAGTAAATATCCTTGAGTCAAACACTAATAAGTTCTTGAGCAGCATTTTCTTACTTTGCCTATCTGTAAATTTCAATGATCATTGATGGAAATATTTTTTCATTGATTTGTGTGTGTAGGGTGAAATCAACATTTACTGATATTTACCAATAAAAATCTAATCCTTCCAAGCCTACATATAGGTGTATGCATAGACAGAAGGATACCTTAGCATATGTGGGTGTCACAGACTCACAGGACTCATGCTGTCTCTCGGCTCCATACAGTTCCTGGGAGGAACCCCCTTCTGTGTGACAACCTTTCTCAGGGGTCCACTCTCTCTCTAGGGGCTTAAGCCGTAGGCCCCTCTGCCTTCTGGAACCGCACTTCTCTGAACCTTCAGCAACCTGTCTCTCACTGTGTGCCCCCTCTGGGAGTCCATTCACTCTGGACCCACAGGGTCTCCACCTCCAGAGGGAATGATGCAACCCTGATCTCTAGACTGGAGTGACTCTCAGCCAGCATAAAACAGAAGGGTTTATTGAGCATCTGAACCCAGCACAGGAAACTCTCTGGGCCCTTGGGCCTAGCAACCCAGCACAATACATCTAGGTCTCTTCTGCATCCAGGTGGGCTCTGGCTGCTCTCTCTCCCAAGTCCAGAAGTCCCCTCCTTCCAGCCAGTCATCCTATATCATCTCCTGCAACAGCTCCTCCCCTGTCCTTTGTCTTTGGTCCCAGGTAAACATATCGCCTGGGCCCTCTCTTTCCGTCCTTTGTCCTCCCACTGGCCAGAACTGGCTGACTGCCAAGCTGGGGTGGGCCTCCTGGTCACCAGGTCACCAGTTGCTAGGGTCCCCCATATCTAGGCAATTGTCTGGGGTCCTGGCTGTTAGGTGAGGTCACACCTGGTCCTCTGTAACAACAAACTCCCTCTCCCACCACCTCGTTAAACACACAGCACACAGGGAAACTAAGACCCACGCAGTATTCATGCAAAACACTAAGAAAATCCTCCACTTCATCACAGTGGGTATGTCCGTGTGTTGCTTTGCACACGTTTCATTACATGGAGGTGCATATGCTGATGCATATATTTATTAATTTATCTGCATTCTATCTATATATTGGTGCATATATGAACACAAATACATGTATTTGGTTTTGTAGGCATATGAACGTGAGTACATTGTGTATCTATATAGGACAAAATTTTGTTCAGTCCAGCTGTGATGCATGGAATGAGGAGTGAAAGAGCATATATCCTCTTCCTCCCACCCCCAAGTCACCCACAAAAGCAAAACAGTAGTAGAGCTTGGGGAATAACTGATTTTTCAGTTCAGTGGATGAACCAAAAAAATCCACCCTGAAATTTGTTTTGGGTCAAATAAATATTGTGTTCCATCTGAAACGAAACACATCATTTCATTTTCAAGTGTTTTTCACCCTTGTGTGTGTTTTTTTAGTAACGATAGCTGAATTTTGAAACAAAGTGTCAAAATATTTTGTGTAAACTCTTTTTAAAAACAAAACATTTCAATTGGTCTGGAAGTTCCTTCCCTTTTTCTGCCGCCAAAACGATTCACCATATTCAACCTGATTTGCAAACAATTTCGGTCGACCCCAATTTGCATTGTTCAGCGAATAAACTATTCACCAAAAAAATTGCACCCAGCTCTATTCCCCAGCACTCTTGAGTGCTAGAATAGGGCAGTGATTAACTCTCCTGATGAGGCTCCATGGCCCAGGTGGGTGTGGGCTGCCAATTTAGAGACATGGTTGAGACAACTAGGTACTTGCCATTGGTGGCAGATAACACGTAGTGTACCATGCTGTCCCTTTCTTGAGCAGCATGGTACTTATTAGTCTAACCACACAGCATTCTCCATTGTCTTCTTAAGGCCTTGGGCACTCACCTGTGGCTGCTTCTTTGGTCTTCCCCTCTTCCTCTTTGGTGGCTCAGGCAGAGGGGATGAGTCAGGGTCCATTTGCTTCTCATTGCTGCTCATGGTGCCCCTTGCCACGTCTTCCAGATGATGGCCTGACAGGCTATTTTTCCATGGGCAACTGATGCAATGGGAATGAAAATCGCACCTCCTTGCTCTCTTTCTCTTCTGTTGCAAGCAGATCCCGTCTCCACCTGCAGGGACTGAAGTGAAGATAGAGTCAGGCACAACAGCATGTCATCATGCTTGCTCATGAGGAGGTTCTGAGGACCCAGCTGCCTTCTAGAAGCACAAGAACATTTTGTGATCAGTTATTTGTTCTCCCCACCCTCTACTCTGACATGAAAGCCTTGCGCTGCTATTTATTTTTAGGAGGTGAATGCAGTGCTGGTGTTAGCCCTTAAGGCAGAAGTTCTCTAATTATTCATGCAATGGGTATCATATGGACAGCAACAGCAGAGGGGTAGACTCAGCCCAGGGACTGTAGAACATTTAGCTCCTTTGGATGACAGGTGCTGTATCAGCGTTACTGTTTCCAGTAGGATGGGGTAGCCTTTGAAGGACACAGCAAGGATGTACAACCCACAGCCAGGTCTCTCTCTGATGGGTTTTCATTTCAACACATTATTTTGTTTGGCTCCTGTATAACTACTTTAGACAAACTAACACTGAGGGTAAGATGTCAGAATAGCAGAACTGTTTAATGTCTACTCCATCCCTTCCCATCTGCTCCTTCTCTCCCCAAGTCCCATTGAGAGCCCTCTGTGGTTGGAATCAGCTCTGGTCTTAGGACGTGTATGGTTCCAAGAAGTAACTCAGGCCATGAGCTGTTGAGAGCACAGGGGGGACCAGTTATTTTTCTTGCTCATGCTTGGTCTCCTCCAGTGCTGTTGCCAGAGAGAAGAAGGAAGTCAGACAGTGAAGCTCCTCACCCTCTGACCCCAGTGCTGGTGATGGGAGATTGGGTCAATGGACCTTCTCCCTGGGTTCTGTTGTCAGAAGAGGGTGGTGGAAGTGGAATAAATCTGGCCTGGAGTTGAGGCAGATAGGTGAAGCCCCCAGCAGTTACTTGTGCTGGTTATGTGTCAGACCATCCTTGGTGGAGGACTGAGCAGCCAGTGCCTGCCTGGTTCTCAGCACAGGTTCCAGTTTGCTGCTCTGCCTGGGAAGGACGCTTACTGTACTTGCTATCTGACCTGTCAGATCTCTGCTCTTCATTTCTTACTGCACTGAATACAGAAAGCATCAAGAAGACTATGCTAAGCCTAGCGAACTGAGCCCTGCTGGAGTGACTAGGCAGATGGAGATTGCAGCCTCAACTGAATCCCCTTTGGGCAGGAATTCTGATCACAAAATAAATAGTCAACAATAGCATGGCCGGGGAACCAAAACCATTCTCTGCTCAGGAATCACAGCACTGAATATGCATAGACAATGTGTCTCTCTTCCCCCTACATAGAGCGCTTAGCTCTTTCTCCTCTTCTTGCCAGTCTCAAGACTCCTAGTCCATTTAATCTCTCCTCCTGTGAAGCTCCATCCCTGCCTCAACCAAGGATCATTGTTATTGCCCTTTTCAGGGCCAACTTCTTTCTCCCTTTCCGGAATGAGGGATTGGAATGGTGAGTGCTCACCACCAGTGTGCTCCCTTGCATCAGGGTGTGATGTTGCAGGGGTTTTCGTCTCCAGAATGCCCATCGGGTTGTCTGTCTTTGCACACCACTCAGCTCTCTAACTGAGAACAGGCTAGTCCAAACCCCTTTGGAGGTAACACCCCTGTGCTCAACCCTTGCCTGGGGTTCCACTGCCTTCCCCAGCTCTGGTATCCCACACTGTTCCACCCCACCTTTGTCTTCCTGAGGGCTCTATCTGCCAACAGCCTCTGGTGCTTCATCCCTTCACAGGAGCAAGCCAGCCCACTGCTTCTCCCTGAGTCTGAACACTCTCAACTTATTTATAAGGCCAAGATATCTGCTAGCACTTGATCTGTCTTTAAGTCCTGCTCCTTCTGGCTGACAAGTAGCTATCTAACCACCACCCAGGTGGAGTGAATGTTCCTAAGTGACCTTTAACCTTTTCTCACCCACAATGGGGTTCCCCTCATCACAGGGGTAACATTTTTGAAAGAATGCCCCTTAGGTGAATCCCATTTTCAAAAGTGATGTAGGTACTTAGGAGCTGATGTCCCACTGGCTTTCAATGAGATTTAGGCTGCCGAATGCTTGAATCATTATAGAAGATTTTACCTGAAGTGACTAAAGCGGAACACGGTATCCCAGGTGATGGTGCACTGTCGATTTATAGAATAGCATAAGATTTTCTGTATTGTTCTAAAATAATGCCTAGAGGGAATATGCTGTATCCAGTTCCTGTTCACACCTGAACGGCAGTGTTTGTTAAATTCTACCCAGCTACATCTTTGGAAACTGGGTTGCACAGGTGTCCCGGAGGGCCTAGTTTTTCCCTCAGTTTCTTGTGGCTTTGAGACTTCTAGAATAGTGGTGAAGAGTGGGTTGTGGAGGCTGCTTGTGGCATACATAGAAGAGAAGATGAGTAAGCAGGTAGAATGGACATGGCTATAGCGTGTAAATGTGAAGTGCATGACAAGACGTTAGTGAAGCCAGCTTGCTGAGTAAAGCAGTGGTGAAGAAACTGTGGTCGTGCAGGTAGCCCGTGGGGAGTGGGTACCTAATGTATTTGCAGAAATGCTACTTAGACAATTAAAACAATTTAGTTTCGATGGACATTTTTGGACAACCTCTAATGCAGAAGGAGAGTATTACTGATGGGGCATGGCTGACATTGCCAATGAAATAATTATAATTCCTAGCCTTTATATTGCTCTTTTCATCAGTAGCTCTCAAAGGGCTTTACAAAGGAGATCAGTGTCATTATCTGCATTTCACAGATGGGCAAACTTAGGCCCAGAGCAGTGAAATGATTTGCCCAAGGTCACCTAGCAGGCCATTGGCCAGACTGGGAATACAATGTAAAGGATGTGTTTGGAGGGGGAGTGTGCAGGGAAAGGGGGCAGAATTAAGGTTGTTATGGTACCTTAATTCTGCACTTCCATATTTTTAATTGTTTGGGTTTTATTTTTAAATTGTGCCGGCTTAACTTAGAATTTGGTGACCTTCCAACATTTGTTTATTGTAAAACTACAATGACCTAATAGGATTTTATCTTATGTATTGATATGATCTTTCAACCTTAATCCTAGCTCAACCAAGCTTTTGCATGGGGAATTTCCATCCCCCTCTGCCACAGCCTGCTCTATATTTGTATGGATTGATCTGACACACCTCGGGGTTGCAATCAGAACTTTGAGTCTAATGAAGGTAGTAGTGAGTGCTGGATCCAACAAAGGACTTGACAAACCCCTGAAACTGGAGCTCTGGGTCTTGTGCTAGATCTGTTAATGAAACTTACAAATCCCTCCAGCTTTCCCTCTGAGTTCTAGCAAATGTCCCAGGGGATGTGTGCATGCAGGGAAACTATCCCCCCTGATTGTAGCCTTTCCCAGATGAGTAGTTTAGGGGTGGACTAACCCCAGACTTTGTGTGTTGGGTGTAATGTTCAAACTCAGCAGGCATAGCAGTGTTTTCCTTTGTACAGACTCAGAGGGCCTAGTCCCTGTACGGGGGCCACTTTCTAAATCCTACCAGACCGATGGCAAACTTTATAGTGTCTGGCAAGCTTTAAAAAGTCTATCAGGCCTGCAGAAAAATGTATGAAGGTCAGCTGGAGCTGACAGTGTGTTCATACTTTTTTTTCCCCAGAGGTGTGTATTTGTTGGGGCCCGGGGATTAGAAGAGACTTGCAAGCAAAGCTTGGAGGGATGGGGGTGGCTTCTAAACACCACAGGAGTCAATGCTAGGCTTGTACAAGACAGCAGCACTTGTAACAGTCATAGTTCTTACATAGCACTTGTCATCGGTAGATCTCTGGGATTTACAAATGAGGTATCCTCATTCATGTTATATTGGTGGGGAAACCAAGGCACAGATAAGCAAAGTGACTTGCTCAAGGTCACCCAGCAGGCTACTAGTAGACATGGGACTAGAACCCAGCTGTCCTGAGTTCCAAGACAGCACTCTAGCCACTACACCATGGGATTTATAAATGCCACAAGAGACTTTGTGGACCTGTGATGAATTTTGCAAACTACACATAACCTTTTTTAAAGGACTATCAAGGGGGTAGATAATGGAGCCCTTGTTATAGCCTTGACTATAGAACTGCGGCTGTCTCTTTAAAAGGAAACATTCACAGAGCAAAACTCTCATTCCACAAAAAAAGAGCCATATTCCACTCTCATTTATGATGATGTAAATCCAGAGTAACTCCATTGACATCAATATGGTCAGGCGTGATTCACACCGGTAGCTGTGAGAGCAGAATTTGACCCAAGCCCTGCATCAAACTGAGGAGGATAGAATACTGAATACACAGGGACTGAGAAGGCAAGGCAAAGAGAAACCTTTCGTTTTAACAACTGTAGCAACAATGATCGGTTTTCACCTTATGGGAAATTACTTTCACCTTCCGAGAAACACTCATGTCTCTACAGACACTGCTCACAGATTAAGAGATATCGGAGCTCACTGTCGTTTCCTATGAACTCTTCAGCCAGTGCACTAGGCAGTCTGGGAAGTTAAATGTTCTCTCTAGGAGAAGGGGACAGTGGCAAGAGTTTGGAAAACATCCCCTCCCTGGAAGATTCCTATATGGAAATGAAGCCATCCTGCCTAGCCTGTCCCTGACATGTCAGAGAAATACGCTTGCAGAAACAGTGCACCACCAAATCACCTGGAAAAATTCCGCCCTTGTGCAACGTTAATGAGGTGAGTTTCCAAGTGGGTATAACTAGCGCCCCAGGAACCTACAGAGATGGGTACCAGTTCTGCGTTTTCTGTGCCCATCATTGACACTAGAACCCTTTGCTTTCAGGGGAGGGAGAAGTGGGCTGCTTCTAAAGCAAACCATTGACCAAGTATTTTATAGTGGTGGTGAAAGGTTCCCAACTCACAATCCAGGAAACTGGAATCTTCTCTTTAGCCCCATAAGGTACAAAGACTGCAGGTGTGCAAGCTTCCCTGCTTCACACCTGTACTGAGAAGGCCAATTCAGGGGCTGAAGGAGAAGCTCTATTTGGGTTCTGAGGGTTCAGTTCCTGACAGTACCATAGATTCTCCTGTGCATCCCTGGGGAAGTCACTTAGTCTCTCTCTGTGCTTCAGTTTCCCCAACCAAGAAAATGGGAATAATCCTTTAGGTGCTCAGAAACCATGGTGATGGTCATGGGGTAAGTATCTGAATAAGCCAGGGGGGAAATGTTTTACTCTGTCCATTCAGTCCCTCCATAGCCAGCAAGGCTGCTGAGTCCTGCCAGTTGTGATGATGGCTTTCAGGATCAAAGGTCTGTCTGCTAAGAAACAGACTAGTGCCACCAGCTCATTTCACATAGGGGCCACCAGACAGCTACCTCCGCAAAAGGACTATTTACTACTGACCTCGGCTGGGTTTCAACCAGTGATGTAGGTGTAAATGTCTCTATTTCCTATTACCCAACTCCTGAATCATCCAGTTTCAATCCGTTGTAAGAGGGATTTCTAGACAGAAAACCCATGTTTAGTGCCATTCCAGTCAATCTATTTGTCTGCCCAGCCACCTGGGTGCCAATGAGAGTAGTGTCTAGGTGCAAAATTCATGAAGATAATCATATAAATCATCACAGCAGGTTCTGCTCTTGCTATCTCAGAGCCAGCCACTCAGTCTAGAATTCTCCCTCTCTCCCTGCCCTGCTCCTGGGAAAGGGCAGGTTTTCCCCCTGCCTCTAAAAACAGACAGACTAGGTGTGAAATCCTGGCTCCACTAAAGCCAATGGAAGTTTTGCCACTGACTTCAGTAGTGCCAGGATTTACCCTAGAACCCTTCCAGTAGGAGGTTCCACAGGCAAGGACCCAGCATTAAGAATGCCTTGACTCCAGCTTGTGCCAGTTTCACTGTAGCCCCTTCTAGTTTGTGTTCCCAGTGAGCACCGTCTTGCTGGAACATATATGGAGAGGAGGTCCCTGACATACCCTGATCCAAGACCATGGAGGACTTTGGGCAAGATTTTCAAAGGCATTAGGCACCTAAAGATACAGATAGGCCCCAAGTGTGATTTTCAAAAGTGCCTAGGCACCTAACTCTGACTGAAATCAATGGGACTTAGTTTTTATCAAACACCCCTCTGAATGTTTAGACTCCTAAATACTTTTGAAAATCTGGTGCCTTGAAGATTAGGACTAAGTCCTTGAACTAGATGATTTAGAAGCAATCAGGGAACTGGTGGAAAACATGCGGAACTGGTCTGATGAGCTCACAGCTGCCAGTCACATTCACACCACAGCCCACAGGCTGGAGTCTGACAGGCCTTGGCTGGCTGCCTGAGGCAGCAGGGGTTACAGTAGCACAGTCTTGTGGAGATGAGCACATGGGTCATGGGTGCTAGGCTTTCATCTGAAAGGAATGGGACTGCTGGAGCCTGGTCATTGCCACTTTTCCAATGAATTTGCCTAGGAAAGGTACTTTGGGGCAGGTTAACATTCCAGGTCACACTGCCTGTCAACCCAACCTTGTGTGTAGCAGGGAGGTGCCATTAATCTGAAAGCTGACATGGGGTGGTGGAATTGGAGGCACACACTTTTTTCCTTTTTATTCTTCCATTGCCTCAGCCTCTGTCTTCTCCCCTCTCCCCCCAAGGGGCTGAGTGTGAGGTGTGCACTGTCATCTCTAACAGTGTCTTGCAGTAGGAGCTGTCCCTGGCCCTCAGGATTCTGTACACAGGAGGACTGGTGGTATTTAGGACTGACTATTCAAAAGTAGTTAAAAGCCTAAATAAAACTTAGGAACCTAACTTCTAATGAAGTCAATGGAAGTTAGGCACCTAACTCCTTTTGCGCATTCAGCCCTTAGTTCCTAGCAGCTATAAGTCCCCAGGGTGTCTTCCTAGGAGTATGGGCACAGGAGGGCATGTGCCATCACATGGAATTGCTAATTTCCTGGAGTGTGGATGGCTACATTTCTTACAGTGACTGGTAGGCTCCAACAGCCCCGCCCCCAGCATCTACCAGGGTCCTAGAGCCTTCACAATCAGGATTCTGACCAGGCAGAGCATGTAGGAACCTTGAGTAACACTGCTGGGTGATGGATATGAACAGAGGTCAAATGTCAATACTCACACAAGGGAGCTCTGCCCAGTGGTTAGAATGGGGAAAGGCGCTCAGGAGAACTGGGATCTATTCCTGTGGCTCTCCCACAGCCTCTGTAGCTGCTTTGTGCCTCAGTTTCCCTGTCTAAAATTATGGCATAGGTAATAATTCAGATATTAATAGTCATCCACCTCCAGGGAGTGGGGGAAATGGAGGATTAATTCACTACAGTTTGTAAAGCATTTTGGGATCCTCAGGGCGAAGGAGCTAAAGAAGGAGGCCGTGATTATACCTGATAACTCACTGCACTTGCTGTGTTAATGAGCACAAGGGCAAGCGCTGGCTTAGGAGATGATGGGGAGGCACCAAGGAAGGGTGTGCTACAGCCCAGGATTTGCAGGCACATGTAGGAATTGCTTGCTACACCCTGCTGTGCGGTGAAGGCAGCCTTGTTGCTCCCAAGGGGCCAGGTTGGCAGGAGATATGTTGGCAAAAGTCATGAGTTATAGTCCCCCCCGAAATCCTGGGGCCATGGCAGCAGCTTGAGTACAGGCTGGGGCTGTTGGGAGCTGCAGGGTATTGCTGAAATGCTCAGCTAATCAGGGTGTCTGAGCCATGTCCAGCCCCAAGCCAGAGAGGAAAGGTGCGGTCAGAGCCCAGCTCAGGGAGATTCACATACACGGGTGGTCCTGAGGTCGAGGGCATGGTCCTAGTTCCCAGACTCCCCCAGCGCCCTCCCACCAAAAGTACCAAGGTCCATGTCTGGATCCAAAACACCTGAAGTGCCTCCCGGGTTGCAGACCCCCTAATCCAATCAGCAGATCCCTTTTAGAATCTTTGTCCCAAGTCCCAGATTCCCCTACTAACCTCCTTCCCTCGCTCTTAGTCCTAATTTCCCTGTCTGGACACCTCTCCCCAAAATCCACCTCTCCCCGTGGAAATCCAGAGCAGACCCAGTGGGAATAATCCAGAACCAGGAGAGAAATAAGAGAATAAAGAAAAACCTATTAGCACAAACTAAAAAAATCCTATGCTTCTCTTATCCCAAATAGCATCCAGCCCCTATGCAAAGCTCCAACCCTCAGCAGTCACTGGGGCACGCAAATCCAGTAACTGGCATTTACTAGGTGGTATCCTCATGCACACACCCAGGAGAAGGTCCTCTGCATGAACAGTGAGCAAAGACGTCTCAGAGACCTGGCAGAGGGATGGACTAAGACCAGATGTTGCTCCATGACCTATTTCTATGCAGTGCTTTCAGGTTCCCAAGATGCAATTAACAATCATTGCTTTCCCAGATCTAGGTGATCTTCCCATTTCTAACACATGAACTGTGCACATGCATTTCAAATGCAGGCTCGGTAACGCGATAAGAAAGAAGCAAAATTACCTGTCAAGAACTTGGACAGCTTCACTTGACCTGGCCCCAGTAGAGCTAATGGTGAAAACCGGGGAGAAAGAGACAGAGATCTCCAGTGACTGACACTCCTCCTGCACTGGGGAGAGGGACCTAGCTTAGGTCTCTGCACACATTCATTTCAGGAGCCTTACAATGAGCCGAGCGCTATTTATTTCACTCCCAGTTAGTGATATGGAAAGCAGCGCAAGCGTTGCCTGTGATCTCCTTCTGATGGCAGTCCTGAGTAGTGACAGCAAGTGAAACTGAAAAAAAAGTTCACTTTAACTCAGCTGGAATCTTGCAGTAAATTGACCAAAAAATAAAAATAAAAAAGTCCCCAACTAAACCACTGAGCCAGGCAGCCCTTACAACTGCCCTGCTTACTAAAAATAAGAATAGAAGGGACAGATCACTTCACAAATTCCCCACTTCCAACAGGGGTGGGTTATATTTACTCTGACCTTATTTTACAACCGTTAGAGAAGAAAAAAAACAAGGGTAGCCTCAGTCTGGCTTGAGATGAGACAAAGTGGTTACTATGCTGGGTCCAAAATAATTTTAGGGACTTTTGCCATGAGCCATAGTTAACACCCAGGGTTGGAAAGTGGCCCAGGTTAGGGTTAGGTGTGCTTTGATGGAGTTTAAAAAAGTGATACTGTCTTGCTATGTACATATCATATTGATGTGAGTGTTAATCATGGCTGCTGTGAGTATTTTGCAGAGGAGAATACAGACTTTTAATATGCATGGTTTGGTTTCTGACATACTGGTGTGTATTTCAGTGTCAATTAAAACAGGGAGTTTGAGTAAGAGCCAAATTCTACCTGCACTCCACTCCCTCTGTAACCCAACTGAGGTACCTAAGAACCAGACTCTGGTACCCTCAAGGCAAGTAGTAACCTACACAAACAATACATTGAAATGAACCAGCAGCCTAATAACTCTCTTTCAGAACGGTGCATAAAGACTTTCCTTGAGACTTAGATTCTTGAGTCGCTATGAAAATGGAACTTAGGTTCTTCTTGAAAATGTTACCCTTGAACTTATTTGTACAGGGAAATTGGCCTGGTGATTAAGGCACTGGACTGGGATTCAGAAGATCTGCGTTCAATTCTTGCCTCTGCCACATAGAGTTTAAGGCTGGAAGGGACCATCAGATCATCTAGTCCAGGGGTTCTCAAATATCATTGCACCTTGACCCCCTTCTGACAACAAAAATTACTACATGACCCCAAGAGGGAGGACTGAAACCTAAGCCCACCTGAGCCCTACTGCTTTAGGTGGGGCAAAGCCAAAGCCTAAGACCCACCCCACCCCCGGGCAGACAGCCAAAGCCCAAGGGCTTCAGCCCCAGGTGGTGGGGTTCAGGCTCGGGCTTCAGCCCAGGGCGGTGGGGCTTGGGCTTCAGCCCCAGGTTCCAGCAAGTCTAATGCCAGCCCTGGCAACCCCATTAAAATGGGGTCCCAACCCACAATTTGAGAACCGCTGCTCTAGTCTGATCTCCTGTATAGCACAGGCCACCCCAGCCACCTCCACACCAAGGCTAACCACCAAAATTAGTGCAAAGCATTACAGCCCTCAGGACACTAAACTATGGTGTGCCACAGGCAGAGAACAGGAGGGACAGAGGTGTGCCAATGCCCAAGATTCCTGCCAATCTGACCTAGATGAAAATTCATTCCCACATCCTGTGACCAGTTAGACACTAAGCATGTGAGCAAGACACATCAGACAGCGCCCAGGAAAGAATTCTCAGTGCCACCTCCGAGTACTGCCCACGCTGTCCTGTGTCCCTTCTTCAGCTGTGGCCATCTCTGCTGCTTCAGAGGAAGGAGACAAAAATCAAACTGGAACAATCACACACCATAATACATTTTGGGGCGGGGGGATCCCTTCTAGACTTTACAGGTGACAACCTGAAGCATGAGATTTTAGGATCAGAAGACATGAACTGGAAGGGATCCCATGGCTGCCATGTCCAGTGATACATACAATCCCACTCAGATATGTATCAAGCTCTAGCCTAAAATGAATTAGGTTGTTTGCCCCCACAACTCTTAGCGGGAGGCTGTTCCAGAACCTCATTCCTCTGATGATTACAAACCTTCCGGCAAATCACATTCTCCATCTGTAAAATGAGGATAATAATACTTCTTTTGTCTGCCTTGCCTATTTATGCTGTAAACTTTCTGGGGCACAGACCATCTCTCACTAAGCATTTGCACAGTGCTTAGCACAGTAGGATTGCCACCTGTCCATGTTTTCCCAGGATTGTCCCTTTTTGGAGGCAGCTGTCCTGGGAAATCTGCAAGCGTGCTCAGTATGCATTGCCAGCTGTCCAGTTTTATGGGCTCAGGAGCATCCCAGGTGTCCTGGTTTTTTGTGGCTCAGAGGTACCAACCCTATAGCACAATGGGGCCCTGATCCTGGCTGGGGCCCCTAGATGCTAATATAATCAAAATAATAATAATACATATGTTATAAAAAGATTGATCTTTCATGCAACCATAGTCATCCACAAAATCAAAAATACTTTGAGTTTAAGGCTACCAGAATCTAACTAATTAGAAATTGCTTATAGCACCTAACACCCAAATTGCTTATATACCCAAACTGTAATCTTTTTAAGGAGAAAAATAATTGCATGTGCTCCTAATTAGATAAATACCATTAGAGATGAAGTAACTGTGCAAACATAGAATAACCATAATGCGTGGGCCAGAACATAAAACGACACCCATTATATTAAATCAGGAACTCTTCATGATACAGCAAACCATCAGACAAAAGAAATATAATACACAGTTCATTATCCTGCTTTATAAACATTAGTTACACACAAAAGAACTATGTTAAAAGAACATTATTGATGCTGTAAATTCAAGCCCTCAAAAGTTAGGAAATGAGAGTTACCAGGTTAGCAAATACAATCTTAGTTCAGTTCTCTTGTGTGTACACATTATGAGACAGTCTTTAATTCCATGATCACATACTTTGTAGTTTCACAGTTTAATGCAAGAAGGGACCATAGATCATCTAGTCTGACCTCCCGTGTATCAGAGGCAATTCAATTTCACCCAGTTACCCCCTTATTAAGCTAGATAACTTGAGCTTGGGATCTAGCACTTCCCTTAGTAGTATGTTCCAATGGTTAATCACCCTCACTGTTAAAAATATGTGCCTAATTTTTCATTTAAATTTGACTGGCTTCAGCTTTCAGCCATTGGCTCTTGTTCTGCCTTTTCCCGCTAGATTAGAGAGTCCTTTAGAACCTGGCATTTTCTCTCCATGAAAGAACTAATGCACTTTAATGCTCTCAGTTTTCTTTTTTGATAAACTAATCAGAATAAGCTCTTCAAGTCTCTCGCTGTAAGGCATTCCCCAGCCCTCAAATCAGTGTTGTGACTCTTTCTGCAGCCTCTCCAATTTTTCAACATCCTTTTTGAAATGTGGCCACCAGAACTATCAGCAGGATTCCAGTATTGGTCTTGCAAATGCTGTAAACAGAGATGAAATCAGCTCTGTCCTCCTCCTCACTGCTCCCCTGTTTACACATTCAAGGATTGCATTAGCCCGTTTTCCCACTGCTTTGCATTGTTGTTTTTCCACAGGATCCCTGCATCATTCAGCGCACAGGGTGGATGGTGCTCAGTGAATGATCAGCTAGTCAAACTTTGTTTTATCCTTATAGTTCAATGTGTGGCCTAGGCTTTGTTTACTGCACACTATTCAAACCCTGTTCTGAAGACAGAATTATTTTCCTTGTAACAGAGCTGGCCACTTCCCAAGCACCTCCTCATTGCCAGGAGTGGCTCCAACGCACCCTGCCTCGGTTTCCCTTTGTTTGGACTCCTCCATAGCTCAAAAAAAGCTTTCACAAATCCAATAACACCCCTCCTTAGGGTCTAGGTTTATAAACAAAAAGTTTAAAATAATTCAAACCATCCTCAAAGCCCCAAAATAATTCAAGTGGCCTTTCCTAGGCTTCTCCTACCTGGAGTCGTTCCACCAGCCTCTGCTGCTTTCCTGGTTTCTCAGGATACCTGCAGCATCTTTCCACCAGTTTTCAACTGGGCTTAGCTTCTCCTTCCTGAGGAGCCTGTTCTTTGCTCCAGCTCTCAGCCTGTCCCCCCGTGATTGTCCACAAGCCTCTCTTTCTCTAACACTCCCTCCACCCCCAAGGCTTGGTTTAGTCACATAACCATCTGTCGCACATCTCAATTCATTTCCTCCATCTGGGGAGGCAAATAGCCTGTGTCACAGGTGGGCAGGGCCCATCTCCTCTTGAGGGGCCAGCCACCCTGTGACATTCTGTGTGGGCTTTTTTATGGCACTTCATAAACATTGATTAATCTATCCTCACAACATGCCTGGGGAGGGCGTGGGATCTCCATTTTACAGATGGCAACCTGAGGCACAGAGATTAAGGTCAAAAGTAGAGGTGGTCAAAAGTTGTCTGATGGAAAAGGTTTCCATCTGAAAATGCTGATTTGATGGAATCTAAATGTTCTGCAGGAATGCCTATTTTGGCTGAAATTTTCAGAACCATGCCAGCCTGAGGCAGACAGCTAGCATGGAAATTTCACCTGGAGAGTTAAAGCTTGGCAAAGTTACAAGCAACTAAAAACAGGGTTTTCTAATGGGAAGTATCAGGCAACCTTAATACTAGGTAGAGGAGCTACCGGTCTGGCCTGTAATAAGACATATAAAAACCAGTTAACATTAAAGCCAAAGGAAGGACTACCACTGACTTCAATGGAAGCTGGATCCAGCCCCAAAATAATTGAATTGGGCCCTAAAAGTAGGGACTGAGTTCAGACTGTTTGAGTGCTGATCACTGAGATGGTTTCTGGAGTAGTAGTGTATGCGCATGAACTGAGCTATAAGGCATGTGTAACTCTCGCTTGTGCTTTCCATAGGCCTGGGTTTTTCATCAAGGTGTTTGACACTGCACCTTTCCTTGAGCTGCAGTAAGCCACTTTCACTGCAAAGGGGTGACGTTTTTATTTTGGAATTTCCTTTCTTTTTGTTGTGAGGCAAGGCTCCTGCTGCTTCATGTAAACAAAGCAACATGGGGCAAGCTCCCTCTGGCAGGTGTGGTCCACAAGCCCAAGGCACTGGAAATAAGAACCGGCTTGTTGAGTCAGCAGAGCAGGGAGGTTATTCCTCCTCTCCTGAGATCCAGAGTACCACACTTACAGGATGAAATTGATTAGGCCTTGACAAAATTGCAAACTGCTGTGATCATCCTATGTCATGCTAGGGCAGGGGTTCTCAAACTGGGTCGGGACCCCTCAGGGGGTCGCGAGGTTATTACATGGGGGGTCACGAGCTGTCAGCTTCCACCCCAAGCCCCACTTTGCCTCCAGCATTTATAATGGTGTTAAATATATTTAAAAGTGTTTTTAATTTATAAGGGGGTGGTTGCACTCAGAGGCTTGCTATGTGAAAGGGGTCACCAGTACAAAAGTTTAAGAATCACTGTGCTAGGGG